CACAGGCAGTGACTGACCTTGGACTGCAACAGAGGCACTCCCAAGAGGCCCCAGAACTAACACACCTGGTGGCCAGCTTCAGACCACACCAGAGCACTACCCAACCACCTCCACAAAAGACATACCCAAAGGGCAGACTGAGCCAGCCCCAGGGGCCTGCCAAAGCAAATCCTGTTCCATAGGGTCAGCCTTTCCACAATAGCTCCTCCACTGTTGTTATGGGCCAATCTTCGCAACTAATCAGCATTAGGGTCAATCCCTTCCATTGATGTGCAAGTAGCAACCAAGGCTCAACTACAACAGGAGGGCACACACAACCCACACAAGGGACATAACTGGAGCACCGAGCTCAGGTGACAAGGGAGACTGCACCCCTGGGCCCCAGAAGACACCTACTACTTAAGGTCACTCTTCTAAGACCAGGAGACATAGCAGCTCTACCTAACACAAAAATAAACACAAGGAGGCAGCCAAAACGGAGAGACAAAGAAGCATGTTCCAGATGTAAAAACAGAAAAATACTCCAGAAAATAACTAAACAAAATGGAGACAAGCAATCTACCAGATTCAAAGTTCAAAACACTGGTTATAAGGATGCTCAATGATTGCAGTGAGAACTTCAACAAAGAGATAGGAAAGATAAAAACAGAGATAGATAGAAAACATAAAAAAGAACCAGTCAGAAATGAAGAATACAATAACAAATGAAGAATACATTAGAGCAGGGGTCCCCAACCCCCCAGCCGCAGACCGGTACCAGCCTGTGGCCTATTAGGAACCAGGCCGCACAGCAGGAGGTGAGTGGCGCATGAGCTAGCAAAGCTTCATCTGTATTTGAAGCTGCTCCCCAGCACTATCAACACTGCCTCAGCTCCACCTCAGATCATCAGGCATTAGATTCTCATAGGAGCACCAGTCCCTGGTGCAAAAAAGATTGGGGACCTCTGCATTAGAGGGAATCAACAGTGAATTAGATGAAGCAGAGGATCAAATCAGCCATTTGGAAGGCAAGGGAGCAGAAAACACCCAGTCAGAACAGCAACAAGAAAAAATAATCTAAAAAAATGAAGATAGTTTAAGGGGCCTCTGGAACAAACAACACCTAGCATACCAACAATTGCATCATAGGGGTACCAAAAGGAGAAGAGAGAGAGCAAGGAATTGAAAACCTAATTCAAGAAACAATGACAGAAAACTTCCGTAACCTGGTGAAGGAAACAGACACAGAAGCCCAGGAAGCGCAGAGTCCCAAACAAGATGAACCCAAGGAGGCCTGCACCAAGACACACCATAATTCAAATGCCAAAGGTTAAACTCAAAGAGAGAATCTTAAAAGTAGCAAAAGAAAAGCAGTTAGTTAACTACAAGGGAGCTCTCCTAAGACAGTCAGCTGATCTCTCAATAGAAACTCTGCAGGCCAGAAGGGATTGGCAGGAAATATTTAAAGTGATGAAAAGCAAGGATCTACAATCAAGACTACTCTTCTACCCAGCAAAGCTATCATTTAGAATCTAAGGACAGATTAAGAGCTTTTCAGACAAGAGAAAGCTCAAAGAGTTCATCACCACCAAACTAGTATTAAAAGAAATGTTAAAATGAGGAGGAGGAGGAGGAGGAGGAGGAGAAGGAGGAAAAGAGGAGGAAGAAGAAGAGATAAAAATATGAATAATAAAATGGCAACAACTATCTATTTATCAATAATTAAATATAAATGGATTAAATGCTCCAATCAAAAGACATAGGGTAGCTAAATGGATAAGAAAAGAAAATCCTTACATATGCTGCTTACAAGAGACCCACTTCAGATTGAAAGACACACACATACTGAAAGTAAAGGGATGGAAAAATATTTAATGGAAATAGAAATAAAAAAAAGGCTGGGGTCACAATACTTATACTGAACAAAATAGACTTCAAAATAAAGGCTATAACAAGAGACAAAGAAGTACCCGGTAATCTCATTTCTGGATATTTATTCAAGATACCCAAAACACTACTTTGCAGGGACATTTGCATCCATATGTTCATTGCAACATTATTTACAACAGCCAAGACATGGGGGCAACCTGGATGTCTATCAATAGATGAATGAATAAAGAGGTGGTACATATATACAATGGAATTTTACTCAGCCATAAAAAAGAATGAAACCTTTCCGTCTGCAACAACATGATCAAGCTAGAGAGTATTGTGCTGAGTGGAGTAAGTCAGACAAAGACAAATGCCATATGATTTCACTTATATGTGGAATCTAAAGAATAAAATAAACAAATAAACAAACAAATCAGAAACAGACTCATTGGCAAATAGGAGGTGGGTTGGGTGGATGGGTGAAAAAGTGGAAGGGATTAAAAAGTACAAATTGGTAGCTACAAAATAGTCATGGGGATATAAAATATAGTATAAGGAATATAGTCAGTAATATTGTAGTAACTATTTATGGTGTCAGATGGGTACTAGATTTATCAGGGTGGTCACTTCAAAAGTTATATAAATGTCTAATCACTATGTTGTACACCTGAAACTAATATAATATTGTATGTCAACTAATTTTTTTTTAATGTGCAAAAGGACTTGAATGGATATTTTTCCAAAGAAGTTATACAAATGGATCTATTATGAAAGGTGTTCATCAACACTAGCTATTAGGGAACTGCAAACCAAAAACACAATGATAATGATGGCTATATGAGTGTTCTGTGCAAGCTATTTTGACAAGAGTGTTATTTCAGGGATTGAATGTGATCACTCTCCTGTAATGTTTTAGGGATTTGTTAAGAAAATACATATAATAAAGATGGATATGAGTGCTAAAAAAAAACAAACAAAAAACCAAATGAACAAAAAAAACAAGAAGATACTACTACATACCCATTAGGATAGCTCTTATTTTTATAAATTGGAAAATAATAAGTGTTGGTGAGGATATGGAGAAATTAGAACTCTGTTCATTGTTAGTGGGATGTGAAATGGTGCTGCCACTATGAAAACAGTTTGGTGGTTCCTCAAAAAATTAAGCATAGATTTACCATATGATCCAGCAATTCCACTTCTAGTATATACCCCAAACAATTATAAGCTGGGACTCAGAAACTTGTACACCAACGTTCATAGCAGCTTTATTCACAATAGCTAAAATGTGGAAACATTCCAAATATTCATTGACAGATGGATAAACAAAATGTGGTATATGCATATAATGGAATATTATTCAGCCTTTAGAAGAAATGAAATTCCGATACAAGCTACAACATGGATAAACTTTGAAAACATTATGCCAAGTGAAAAAAACAAAAACAAAACAGATACCAAAGGACGAATATTGTATAATTCCGTTTATATGAGGTACCTAGAATAGGCAAATTCATAGAGACAGAAAGTAGAGTAGAAGTTGTCAGGGACTAGGGGGAGTGGGAAATAGGGGAATAATTGCACATTTTATTGTGTAGAGGAGGTCTGAGCATGCAGACATACATACAGAGTCAAATAGACCTGGGCTTAAATTAAGTATTGGCTCTGCCATTTACTAGATATGTGACATGGGTCAAGTTAATTAACTTTTTAAAATTTCAGTTTACTCATCTGAGAAAAAAAAAAAAAAACAGGATCACAGTCACACCAAACTCACCCAGCAATTGTGAGGATTAAATGAGATAATGCATATAGAGCACTTAGCAAAGAGCTTAGAACCTAATAAGTACTCGATGAATTTTATCTATTATTAATCTTAGAACAATTCTTGCCACAAAACTCAATAAATTTCTGTTGAAGAAATGCTTGCAACTGCATATTTGTTATAATAAGGAAATTGATTGAAGTTTTAGTTAGGGGAGGGGGAGGAGGACTTGAGAGAGGGTAGGTCCAGAAGGACTTATTGGAAAGACAGCAATGTGACAGAACAGAACCCAGAAATATACTCTGTAGGTATTTGACAACATGGTAGTATGTATATGACAGGTTTTTATTTGCATATCAGTGCTACTTCTGGGATCAGTTCTCCCCTATCAAGAAAAATCATAATTCATGTCCTTTCCTTTTTTGCACTCTTCGTTCTCTTCTTCCTTAAGAAGGGGCTGGAAATCTGGCAATAAAGGAAAAATTACATGTGTATGCCCGTGTGTTAATTTTTGCCGCCTTCCGTGAACCTCATCATATTTTATGCATTTGATATATACTTCAAATCAAGCTTGGCACATTAGATTCTCAATTAACATTTGTCAGATGACTGAATTTATAAGTGAGCATTTACTCGTTATGTTCCTCTCCTCCACCCGTAGGGATGCTTCCTATGACCCTATTTTTATTTATCTAATATTTATATCTGATTCTCTTTTAAAAAGGTTTTGAAGCAGCTTTCAGTATTTCTTATCACACAAGGTAAAAATAATCAGAGAATTGGGAGAAACTATGGTAATTTAAGATAAGTGAAACATCAACATATACCAATAAAGTTCACAGTTGTTAGAGGTGGGTCGCAAAATGGTTTCTGAGTGTCCCAGCAGCCATCACAAGAAAAGGTAATTACATAATTCATGTCGTCTATATGATTCAAAACACACAATTACTCTGATATTTCAGTTACTGAAAATGGAATATTTTTCTTTGAATTTTTATTAAAGAATTATTTTTGATGTAGTAAATGCCTTCAAGAATATTATACAGTCAAAGAAAAGAGAATTTTATTGGTCTATTTGTATTAAAATCCTCGATGTAGCCCCGCGACATAACGCCAAAGTAAGGATCAGCAGATGGATTCTAAAAGGGTCCGAAACGATTTTGTCTAGGTTTGAAGCTCTTATCCAGAAAAAATTATTGTAAAATAGTCTTCCAAAAATATATATTCTTTACAATTAATTTTAGATAAGTGTTAGGCAATAGATACTTCGTGCTATAATCTCTAATAGTCGCCCGTACTGTCATTAATATTATCCCTATGTCTTTAAGGAGGATACCTTTGACATCGTTTTAATGAAAGTTCTGGAACCTTTCAGGTCACGTGACTGAACCGGGAGCCATTTTAAGACTCCAACGAGGTAGAACATGGAGTACCCTGAGGGACGGCCCCCTGAACTCTCAGCAAGTGATTCAACACCAGCAACTTCAACATCAGCAGTAAAGAGTTTCCAAGATCTCCAAATTCTTGTCGACTATGGAGCTGAAACTGCCGATGATCCAAGTGCCAAAACTGCCAACGACCAAGGCACCCAAAATCCCGCCGACCATGGCGCCCAAGCTGATGCCGGCAACGGCACCCAGGCTGCTGCCAGAACTCTGGGAGTCTTACTGGAGGGGATAGGTAAGTGTCTTTACATTCCTGTCATCCCTCCCAAAAAAGTTAAGGATTTTTTTGGAAGAAACAAACTGCTAGAAGTATATTTGAACTGTGTGACACCCCTTTAGGATAAAAAAGTGGTGTAACTTGTATTCCTCTCCAAAAGATGTAAAATAATGACTGTGGAGGAGAGGAAGCGGCTAATATGTTAGAGTAGTTTGGGTGCGGATTCTAGTCATTTAATAGGTTGGAGCGGTGGTGTGTTTGTCACCAGGCGAGGTCGCCTCGCCGAGACAAATCGCTCCAACTTAACAGATCTGAGGAGTAACCGGATGTGGCGCCCTTTACAAGTATCACTGTGCTCTGGTAAATGCTCTGTGGCCGCCCCGAAGGCTGGCTCTGTGTCAAGGGAATTTGTTCGGAAGCTTTGTTCCGGGAGGTCTCCGAGTGGCCGCGTCCGCGTCACGCAAAGCGCCCCTCGAGCCTTTCCGCCTGGGCACGCGGCGACCTCGCCGCCGCCTCG